CGTTCCAATAAGTCTTTCTAACAATATGACCATGTTGCGAAAACAAGGTCAAACAACTTTCTGTGCTTAATTGAAAGAAAAAAAGAAAATGGATCGTGTTGAACCACGTTAAAAATGAAGACGTCTTAAGTTTATGATTCTAATTAAAGGAACACTTACAAAGCTAATTTCAAACAAAAAGTTTATCAACTCAATCAAACGTGCCCATTAATATACAAATGCAGTGATGCGCTGACTTGATTCGAAAGTCAACTAACCTGAACTACACAGTGTTCTAACCATAATCGAGATTTTAAGAAACAAATAAACAATCACAAACACACACGCAAGCACAAATGTAAGTTTATATAAATATGAAAATGTACACAAAATATTCTTTCATACTTCGGAAGTTACGAATAGATAGATAAGCTAAGTATAAGCCCGATAGTTTTTTCCCTCTGCAAGTTAGAAGTGATTATAATAATGAGATCCAGCCCCCATGATATCAGTCGCACAATATACAAAAGGTTAGTTTGTTTTCGTCAGGAATGAAGGAGGACGTCTAGAGGACAGCGCCTGCCCGAACATTTCAATAACATCAAATGACAGTGGATCAATTGGAATCCGCCATCATCTGGTTAGGTCGACGCATGAGTATCTGAATCACACGCTTTTAAATATCAGTATCAAAAATTTTGTTGTTTTCATAGTGTATGTGAATAAGTGCATGTGTGTGTGTGTATTTATGCATGTGCGAATATATAAAATCGAAATGATACTCCCGAGAAGTCAAAACAGAATGGAAGTTTGCTACAATAAGGTAATAGAGGCTTAATGACTGCTTATATTTGGCCTATGATAGAAATCATTACGATTAGGTGGTGTGGAATCGTGTGCAGTAGATTCTATTGAGATGTGAATACTTCAATTAAAGAACATATAAAAGTACTAGGCTAAGAGAAACTTTGAGCTAAATTGCCTTCTTGACCCTAGCCTAACAAATTAAATTGCAACAGTCAATTTACTAAAAATTAAAGCAAAGGTAATATTAGTAAAATCAAAAAATCCCTCAAAAACCTACCATTCGTATTTTGACCATAATATAGTTAATGTAGACAGAGAAGCAAGAAATAGTATTTACGAACCTAGATCAAAGATGAGTGAAAATTATAGTATAATGGTAACGTTACTCATTAATTATTTCGGTAGTATGCAACTAATAGATATATTTATATATATATATAATCTCACGGGCATATTTTGGCGTCACCACCAGTTGATTCAATTGGTTTGCTCAATGCCACTTTACGAATAATCGTATCTGTTTTAAAGGCACCAGCTCGACCCCGGAATTCTCTGGTGCTGCATTCATTTAACTTCTTATCACACATATCAAATCGATTCTCCATAGCTGTATGCCTGCGCGACCGCCTGCTAGAGGCAGTAAAACGACGAATGATGTTAGGCGGACGTGAATGAAGGACACCCCTACTCCGACCGAAGATACCATCAGCAACAGCTGCATTAGCTATGGTTTGCCGGGATGCACGGATCAGGCTAAATTGGTGAGCTGGAGATAGGTCAAAAAACACGCTGTGTACCTGGCCGAGACTAGATCTAAGTTGAGCAAGTAGACGTGCCTCTAGATCAAATTCAACTGGAGAAGCAGAAGCTCTTACTGAAGTGACAGTAGATGTGATATCTGAATTACTAGTGGGATGCTGCGTTTCAAGTTGACGACGCTCTGTATGCAGGGTAAGCGCAAGCTTAGCAGTGTCCTGAAAATAAGAAAAAATTATCATTCATTTAAATAGGCTGAAATTTTTTTCACAAATGCCAAAGGTATAAAGACCAAGATAGTATGGCCATTTCTGTGGTCGCAGTTTTCTTTAGTTGTACAGAGGTTGTTTGACCTTGTTTTCGCAACTTGGTCATATTGGCAGGTAGACTTAGAGGAACGCAACTAGTCCGGAGACCTTTGTACGCATGATCATTTCCAAAGTCAGATCTTGAGCGTAATACATTCCTAGACTTTTCGCCGGCATCATAGTCAGTGAGTCTCGCCATTCTTAGCACCATACAACAACTCGTCAAAGAGACAAGTGAATCCGATCCTTTGACCAAACGTGTGCTAAATAGTTGTAGTATCTCGCCTTCTGTCTGGGCTATTCACATTTCCTATATTCTCCAATCACGCCTTCACTGTTACAATTTTTTCCTTGCCTATTTAGATGTAGTTTGGTGTGCTTCTTTGAGCGGCATTCATGAAAACCCTTCACACTCCATGCGTTGTTCTACCCCCCTTCATTCTTGTGCTGGGAATGTTAATCAGAGTCTGCCATATTGTTACGCAGTCCTCCTTCCATAGGTCTTATCACAGTCTCTCTTTTGCCCCGTAAGATCTGTCTGCTATATACCTAGTTGACGTATTTTAATCGACACCTGCCACCCCATCTGTGCTACTGGAGGCGTTATTAGCCCTCCCCTGCGTCTGAGTGACTAATTAGAGGCTCAAGTCTCTGAGTAAGGCTCATCGTCAAGCTTTTGCTACATGGACCACGTATATGGTACAACAGACCTACTGTCAGCCAACTAGTTCCAGTCTCCGCCGCGTATATCCTGTCTCTATCCATAATACCAAGTAAGCAGTAGTACAACATTTGATTTGTATAGGCTCACCGTCCTATTGGTTTCCTATTGTTCCTTTTGGTTTTTTATTGTTCCTTTGTGGTCTTCCTGCCATTTCTTTGTCTCAAATCGAAGATCTAATGGTCTGCTTTTTGCTGATATCGCTAATCGCTGATCTCCTTCGAATTTACCCAGGCAATATGGGATTGTAAAGTTTTCATTAATACTGCCTATTTCAAGTCTTGTGTTCAATAGATTTCTTTCAGTCAGGATATTGAATCTTTCATTTTCTTGTATTTTAACCATATATAGCCAGTCCTTCCATCGAGTTAATGCTCTGTCCATGCAATGTGTCCCGCTATTTCTGATCTGACACGTTCCACGTTTCGAGTCTTTGGTGTTCAGTGATCCGTAGGCTGATTTTTCCTTCCGTTCCACAAACGTTCTTCTGCTCACAATTGGCGCATTGTATGCGATAAACTCACGAAAAATTCAGCTTGTCAAACTTCTCATGTTGTGTTGACAGACTGGTAAAGAGTACAGACTTAGATGATGGAGTAAAGAGTATTAAATTTTTCACTACAGAATGAAGTAAATTAGACTCTAAAAATACTGGTTGAGCTAATTAGCTAAGATAGATTACCTGAACAACTCAAGAATAATATAAAGCCGGATGTGATTACTCATTATAAACAGGTAGATACACGAAATAAATCCTTTGTTCTTAGCAGGGAATCTAGATAATTAGTTCGTAATAATCTGAGTGTTATGAAAGCTGTAAATTATGCGGAGAAAATACGTGTGCAGTAAATTATATTGAGATGTGAATAGTTCAAGTAAAGAACTTATAAAGGTACTAGGCTAAGAGAAACTTTGAAGGTATGTGTAAGAAATGGGGAAATTGGAAGGTGGAAAATGAATTCCCTACTTCAAAGAGATGATAGATCATCCTCGGCTTATGACAGAAGAGGTAAGATAATTGAAAGTTATGTTTCTGGAGAATAATTATCCCTTGGACTTAACGAGGAATAAATTTGCAGACAGAGACTATTTCGTCAGAGATAGGCAGGCCGAGACCCTTTCTCATGTTCTAGTTTTGCTGTCATATTTTATTCTTAAGAAGATTGGAGAACTAGTGAGGAAGTGGCGGATAAAGACAGTTTTTAAAGAAACTGTAAAACTTTCTTCAGAGAATGTCTTCTTTTAGAGAGAAATATGACCAATTGCCAACATCCAGCTGTTACAAGAATATGTGCTCCTATAATCGACCTTATGTTTGGTGAGACGTATCGGCCGATTCGCCAAAGATTAGCGGAGCACAAAAATGCTTACAAATTTAGCTGGGTCGAACGATGAGAAGTAGAGGAACACATAACGGAGACTTGTCAGCTAACTAATAGTTATAAGCAAGTCAAGACTCGTTCTACAGACATGTCAAGCAAATCAGCCAAAACAGTCGTGCAGGGCTACGCTTTACATTAGATCATAAAACCTTACTAACGCAGATTAATGGGTTCCGACTGGTGATTTCGTAATATGACTTCAACGTGCACAGATTTACATCTCATCAATTTAACCAGGGTTACTTACGGTCATTCTATTATCCTTGCGTAATTAACCCTTCCTGACCTGGGACTGACGTTAAGCTCTTTTCTTATAACTCTCATTTATGACCGATTTTGAGTAGTCACGTTATCACACATACACACGCGTACACACTCGACTATACGTGAATCAACCAAACATTTCTATGCGATGAAAGCACAATTAAGCGGAAGATTAGAGAGGCCATTGACATCCTTGGTGAAAAAAGTCTAATGAACATGAGATTGGAGGAAGGTAGAGTAAGCAGTAGCTTCGCATATTGCTTAAGCAAAATCGTGAATACAAGAATACAAGACCAACAAAAATGAGACGCCTGGATCAAGGATATATCGCTAACTGGAGTAAAAGAGCTCGCGATGAAAAAAGAGGAGAAATTTCGGAAATCAAGCGAAGATGTTACCAGTGAGTGATGTCTGTTCGAAGTAAACCAGTACAACTTTGGGGGCCTAACAGTCAGGGAACTAGATAGACGGATAAGCACGACCATCACATTAATTCGGTATTATGACCAAAATGTATTAGAAATTCAGATGAGATGCTGCATGCGACAAGGGATAGGGGTCCACAGTTTGCTCAGGTAAAACGGGTTTAAGAAAGGAGACGACACTTGAAGGCAATGCTTAATATATGAAGGCATGGTAATCAAAGTCTATGCGCTCTGTTCGATGAGGCGGCAGTGTACGTGCTTATAAGGCCTTGAGAAATAGTGCCTGGAGGAAAGCTACCACTGGGACTGGATTCGGCTAATCTATACATGTTCTTTTTTGGCCAGTTAAGTGTAGCGCCATGAATTCTACTTTTTACCTTTGCCCTTCTACTCCATTTGCTTGGCAGGAAGACTTAGAGGAACGCATCTAGTCCTGGTTCATTCTCTGCATTATCATTTCCAAAGTTGAACCGTAGACGTGGTACATAGAGGCATGGCAGTCACAAGATCAATGAGATGGATTATCACAACCCTCACAATAATTCAGCATTATAGTCAAAATGATTAGGATAAAAGGTTTGAGTATAGATTAACAAATAGAGGAGAAAGAAGGGAGGGAGGGGCAAAATAAACGGCAGGTGTAATAACGCCATATTAACCCCCTCACCCTCCTCACTTGTTGAGGAGTCGATTATAATCAAGTCAAAAATTGTGATTTGGCCAGAATGAGATAAGAGGGTGGGTAATTGGTAGACATGCCAGGACAGACAGTGGATGGATATCATAACCATTCTGCAAAAAGTTGGTCAAGGGATTGACTTCACTAATGCGTTTTTGCTTGGTAATGAGAATGGTAAGACTCACTGACGATGCTGGCTAATTGTCTGGAAATATACCACTCCAACGGCCAGGCGCTGTAAATAATCATAGCTACAATAGCAGGGGACTTTGGAGGTGTGTCCAACTAAGTCATCCTGGCAACAGGATCAAATTTCGAAAAGGATGTCAGATCACTTCGGTATAAACTTTTATTTTAGCAAAGGCACCCACTCTGAAAGAAGGCATAATGATGTTGCTGCTTCATTCCAACTTTTTCACTCTTGTCAAGAACATAGAAACCTTTTTCCTTGAGAATTGATGAATATTAACAGGTGAATTTTAAGGCCTAATGAGAGCCATTGACTATGATTTTCACAACTTGTCATAGGTTAGAAGTTGTTTGACCTTGTTTTCGCAACTTGGTCATAATGGTAGGTAGACTGATAGAAACGCACCTTGTCCTGAGTCCAGTGTATGCATAATTATTTCCAGTCGGACCGTGGACGTGGTACATTCCCAGACGTTTCGCCGGCATCGTAGT